GGGCGGACTGACCAATTGGAAACTCGGGCACTATCCGAGGGCCCGGGGTCAGTAGGGGGCCCCATGAGGTGCCCCTGGTACCTTTTTCATAGGCTTTTTTGAGTTTGGGCAAGGACACGGGGGCCCCATGATCTCCTATTGCCTGGGGGCTCCATGAGTTGTCAGTCCGCCCCTGGTGAACACTTATGAAGTGATTTATAAAGGCAAATTTAATCTTTTATAAAAAAAAATAATAAATGCATGTATTTTTGCAGAAAAAAAATGCGCATTTATTATTTTCTTTCCACAGGAGCCTGCAAAACATTGCATCCGCGATCAGTGGAAGGTGCAGTGCCAGGCTCCTGAACACTCTCCATCGAGCTTTCCCCCTTTACCTCTATACAGGCTTTCAGGTACAAAACTGGAGGATGAATGAATGGACTATAAGGGTGCTGATCAGTGACGTCGCAGTCTGTTGAGAACTGCAAGCTGTCTGTTTTCCTGTTAAAGAGAAAAACGTGGATACTCCTATGGCTGCTTTTGCTGATTTCTGCCTAAACAAATCCTACTTGCCTGCCTGTTCTGATGATACAATATCTTCTTTACTTTCACTGACCTGCAATAAGTATGCGGCTAAAGTCCTACAGTCCTACTGCATACTATCTCCAGTTCAGAATGCACTGCGCCAGACACTTAAAGGGGTCTATTTCTAGAACAAGCGCTGCACCAATGTCAGAAACATTTGTACAAGCTGAACGAAATTTCACTGTATTTTTTTGCTAACATTATTTCCTATATCATCAGCTCTATCTAGTGGCCAAAATATGGTATTGTATGGTAGAATTTTTCAATGGAAAAATATAAAGCATTTTAGCTACTACATAGAGCTGATGATACAGGAATTAACCACTTCCCCTCCAGTGGATTTACCCCCCTTCCTGACCAGGCCATTTTTTTTTTGCGATATGGCGCTGCGTTACTTTACCTGACAATTACAAAAAAAAAATTAAAAAATCAAATTTTGTCATCAATGTTATCCAAAATTCTGCTACACGTCTTTGCTAAAAAAAAAAATCCCAATATGTGTAAATTAATTGGTTTACGTGAAAGTAATAACATTTACAAATGGCGGTATATATACTGAAATTTTTTCTTTACTAGTAATAGCGGCAATCGGCGACTTATAGCGGGGCTGTGGCAGGCATTCTGACACTGGGAGAAACTGACTTGGTGTCACTGACATCCCCAGTGACACCAATACAGTGATCAGTGCTAATAAAAAGCACTGACACTGTGCTAATGACACTGGGCAGGAATGGGTTAACATCTGGGCCAATCAAAGGATTAACTGTGCTGCTGTGTGTGTTTTACTATGAGGCTATGTGTGCTTTCCATTGTAAGTACACTGATTTGTATGGCTGTGGTATACACAGCCATACAAAGCAGTGTGCAGGAGCTGACAGGGGAGAGGACTGTATTGTTTACACACAGTTCTCTCCCTCATCGGTATTACTCGGAGACCACCAGGTGCTGGCGAGTAATCAATGGCCAGGACCCGGTGATTGACAGCCAAGGCTGCGAATGGTGGCGCGGGTAGAGCATGCGCCCCCTACCCGTAACTGCAAAACCACGTATATATACATCATTTTGCGCACCCATGCTGCCCTGTAGCAGTATTTCTGCTACAAAATAAGAAAAAAATTTGTTCAGCTTGTACAAATGCATTTGGCAAACAAATATTTTTGACCCCATAAAGTATCACATTTTCATTGAGTCTGCCAAAGTCCAGATTTATGTTACAATTTATTGCAATATTCACTCTGGATGTGGTCACGTTAAATTCTAATGTGTCCCAAGTAGGGAACACTGTCATGAACTGTCACACCCTTTCGCTGCCGGAGCCGTTTTTGCATTTGTTTTGCGCACATGTTTTAAAAAATGAATCTTCAGGCATGAAGATTACACAAAACCCCCAAACATGATATATTTTCTGAAAGCAGACACCCTAGAGAATAAAATAGTGGTAGTTACAATTTTTTATGTCACACGATATTACCAAAAAGGTCTAGGAAACATACAATTTTTGTAAAAAAATGCACTAAAGTGAATTTTCAGGCAAACACAATTTTTGGTAAAATATAAAAGAGGAGGTTGCACCAAGTACAGTAAATAGATACCCAACATGTCAAACCTTAAAGTGATCCTAAAAAAAAAATAACAAACATGTCAAACTTACCTGCTGTATGCTGTGGTTTTGCACAGCGCAGTCCTGATCCTCCTCTTCTCTGGTCCCCTGCCAGCGCTCCTGGCCCCTCCTTCCTGTCAGGTGTCCCACAGCTAGAAGCCTGCTATGGGGGCACCCGAACACATGCTATCCCCATTCACTGCTCCGTGTCTCTATTCACACATGGAGCCACAGCTCGGCCCCGTTCCCTCTCTATTCTCATTGTCTCACTGGCCGTGATTGACAGCAGTGGGAGCCAGTGAGGAGAGGGAGTCCTGGGATAGCCGAAACTCCAGTCACATCACTGGATCGAGAGGGGGCTTAGGTGAGTATTTGGAGGGGAAGCTGCACAGAGAATGCCTGAAGGTAAAAAACCTTGAGCCTTTTCAACCACTTTAAATTTGTGTGTGCCCGTGAAATGGCAACAAACTTCATTACCAGGGGTGGACTGACAACTCATGGGGCCCCCAGGCAATAGGGGATGGTGGGGCCTCTGTCTCCTTGCCCAAACTCAAAAAACCCTATGAAAAAGGTACCAGTGGCATCTCATGGGGCCCCCTACTGACCCCGGGCCCTCGGGCAGTGCCCGAGTTTCCAAATGGTCAGTCCGCTCCTGTTCAGTACCTTATATTTTCTATAGGTAAAACCTCAAAAGCCCCCTATAGGTCTTCAGAGGAGGTCTTGTGCTTCTATATTCGTGATAAATAATATATAAGCTGTTAACTTGTCTGGTTATTTCACTGATTCTCTTGCTTCAGTGCTTTGAGTCACTGACTTGGAATAGGTTTGAAGATAAGGAACTTTGGCTTTGCTGTGACTTACCTAAGTAGAAGCTGACAAAAACACACAAGCAGTGCTGGACTTTCTCATTAGAAAGCCTAAAATTGGTTTGCAAACTAAACATCATGGATACAACATATGTAATGGAGTCAAAAAGGTGGTGTTACATTTTAATTGATTTTCAGACTTCCAAGGATATACAGGGATTTCAAAGGCAATAACAATGTTTCATGAATGTTATTATATATGAGGGACTTGTGCAATAAGCATGAAATATCTTCCTCCAATGGATGGTTGACTGTAAAGTAATATAAAAAGACATAACCATATATGATGCTCTCAAGTGAAGCAATGCATTGCCACATTGTATCCATCGGCAGGAGGTGTAAGCAGAAGACCAACTAGGGCTGGATTAGTTTAGGTTTAACCAGACTTAACATTTATGATTGCTGAATAGTGTGAGGCCACAGCAAGTCCTATACACAGTGATTGGCCTAGTGAAATGTGGATTTGGTCATGCTGGATTTAGATACTATTCAGTTCATGTCAAGTTTGCCTAAATGTAAATCTAGTTCTGTAAAAGAATTCTACGTGGCATGTCTGTGATTGTATGTAAAATATGTTACAAAATAGTTTCCTATGGCTTTGACTGTTGCACCATAAAATACATCTTTTTCAAAGTTATTTGTATTGTGTGGTTTATACAGTATTTAACCGAAACAACACAAGGGGATGATTGCATGAAAGTTGTTTTATTTAAATCAAATGTTTCTATGTTACACTTAATGCCCAACTCTTGTAAAGGTAAAATCCCTCCCTTGCAGTGGAGCTGAACCTGGAGAATAGAAAAAAAACACTTACTGCCAAAGCACTCCCTTTGGCAGTGGCAGTGGACTGTTACTCGGCATCCTCATTTCAAATGCAGGGCTATGGGCCCTTGATGACATCAGAGTGCATCTGAACACTAGAGTGCAGGGGAGAAGAGTCTGCCTGGATCAGTCTAGCTGCACAGAAGAGCCTGCGGGAGCAGAGGATAGGGTCAGTAGATCTGCTCTTCCTTGTTTGACAGAAATAAACAAGCATTTAACACTTGCAGTGTGGGTGCAGTTCCACTCCAAGGGAGGGTTTTTTTACTTTTCCTGGAGTTACGCTTTAAATATATATACTGTATATATATATATATATATATATATATATATATAGAACTCTCCATAAACATATTCTCATTTTATCTTTTTTTATTTAGGCAATGACGTTTCCCCCTATCACCACCCCTTCGCTTGCATTGACGGGGATTCCCAGCCATGTAAGTCCATGGGCTGGGTGATATTAGTGGTTGGTAAGGACGCGGCAGGTGCAAGCACTCACTGCGTCTTTAGCAACCATTAAGAGCAGAAAGCTGTCACATTCGTCCAGGACGAATGCTCTGGATGAATGTCTAAATAGCTAATGTTTGGTCCGAACCTCTGTTCAAACCAGACACTCAGCTCATCACTAATTGTAACCCGTGCCATCAATCACTAGTGTGTACTGAAGTAGACAAGCATAGACACTAAAGGTTCCCATGTGTTCCCATGACTTTGGAGTGTGTATTAGCTTCTCTCCCACTGCAGGCAAAAGAAGCAGAATCGTTCATATAGAGGTATACTTTTTTTCTCTGTTTTCACAATGCTCTACATTTCCACATGCCAGACCTGTTCAAGTATATGTTTTAATACCTTGACAAATCTGCATGAATAAATTCCTGACATGTCACAATATACAGCAACAGTTCTCTCTTTTTATTAAAAAGTCATCCTTTAAGTCCAGGAAATTGACTTTGACCAGGCTGAGATAATGTAGTCAATCTGGTGTAGGCAGGAGGAAGCATTTCCCCAATCTCTCATTTTTAGGGGTCAGACTGCAATATAAAAGTACACTATATTGCCAAAAGTATTGGGCCAGCCCTCCAAAACATTGGATTTAGGTGTTCCAATCACCTCCATGGCCACAGGTGTATAAAATGAAGCACCTAGGCATGCAGACTGCTTCTACAAACATTTGTGAAAGAATGGGTCAATCTCAGGAGCTCAGTGAATTCAAGCATGGTACCGTGATAGGTTGCCCCCTGTGCAATAAGTCCATTTGTGACATTTCCTTGCTACTAAATATTCCACGGTGAACTGTTACTGGTATTATAACAAAGTGGAAGCAACTGGGAACAACAGCAATTGTTGACAGAGCAGGGTCAGCGCATGCTGAAGCGCACAGTGTGCAGATGTCACCAACTGTCCGCAGAGTCAACAGCTAAAGACCTCCAAACTTCGTGTGGCCTTCAGATTAGCACAACAACAGTGCGTAGTGAGCTTCATGGAATGGGTTTCCATGGCCGAGCAACTGCATCCAAGCCTTACATCACCAAGCGCAATGCAAAGCGTTGGATGCAGTGGTGTAAAGCACACTGCCACTGGACTCTAGAGCAGTGGAGACATGTTCTCTGGAGTCAAGAATCATAATTCTCTGTCAGGCAATTTGATGGATATGTCTGGGTTTGGCAGTTGCCAGGAGAACAGTACTTGCCTGACTGCATTGGAGGGGGGATTATGGTGTGGGGTTGGTTTTAGGGGTTGAGCTTGGCCTCTTAGTTTCAGTGAAACTCCTAAGACATCAGCATACCAAGAAATTTTGGACAATTTCCCAACTTTGTGGGAACAGTTTGGGGATCGCACCTTCCTGTTCCAACATGACTGCTCACCAGTGCACAAACCAAGGTCCATAAAGACATGGATGAGAGAGTTTGGGGTGGAGGAACTTGACTGGCTTGTACATAATCCTGACCTCAACCTGACAGAACACCTTTGGGATGAATTGGAGTGGAGACTGTGAACCAGGTCTTCTCATCTGACATCAGTGCCTGACCTCACAAATGCGCTTCTGGAAGAATGGTCAAACATTCCCATAGACACACTCCTAAACCTTGTGGACAGCCTTCCCAGAAGAGTTGAAGCTGTTATAGCTGCAAAGGGTGGGCCAACTCAATATTGAACCCTACAGACTAAGACTGGGATGCCATTAAAAGTCATGTGCGTGTAAAGCAGGAGTCACTAAATGGCGGACCTCGGTCTGAATACAGACCGAGTGACAGTCCTGTCTGGACCATGGCCACATCACTTAGCAACCTGAGTGGAATCCTCTCCTCCCACTGCTGCAGCTGTTAGAAATCAGGGGGAATGGCAGGGTGGACTCCTGTTCTGTATGTACTCGCCTGCTGCCGCCATCTTCGCCACTGCTGTTGAGGTCACAGCAGGGAAAAGGGCAGGAGGAATGGAAGGAAGGACTCCTCTTCTAAATGTACCAGCTTGCCACCACTGCAGCTGAAGGAGGGTGGGACACACTGCAGGTCTACGGGGAGCAGGGGAGAGGAGCCACCTTACATATTACCAAGCGGGTCACTCACTTTTTAACAAGAAGAGTTGGGCAGCTCCCGCCCTCAGTGGAGACCTTCTGTGCTTCCCACCCTACTCCCTGCTCTGAGTTCAGCGGCGATGGCGGCAAGCCGGTACATTCAGAAGAGGAGTCCTTCCTTCCATTCCTCCCAGCCTCTTTCCTGCTGTGACTGCAACAACAGCGGTGACGATGGTGGATGCAGGTGAATATATACAGAACAGGAGTCCACCCTGCCATTCCTCCTGCCCTCCACAATGCTGAGATAAGGTAGGGGGAAGATTAGGGGGGGGGGGGAGCTGTGATGTCTGAGGAGTGATCTGTGAGAGTGGGGAACTGTGATATGGGGAGCTGTGATATGGGGGCTGTGAAATGTGGGGGTTATGAGAGGGGAAAGCTGTGATATGGGGGGGGCTGAGAAATGAGAGCGGGGAGCTGTGATATGGGGGCTGTGAAGTGGGAGGGAGCTGTGAAATGGGGGGGGCTGTGAGAGGGGGGAGCATTTGAGATGGGGGGCTGTGAGAGGTGGGAGCTTTGATATGGAGGGGCTGTGAAGTGAGAGTGGGGAGCTGTGAAATGGGGGGCGGAGCTGGGATGTGAGAAGGAGAGCTGTGATATGGGGGAACTGTAATGTTAGAGGGGGAGCTGTGATGTGAGAGGAGGGAGCTGTGATATGAAAGGTCTGTAATGTCAGGAGGGGGGGGAGCTGTGATGTGGGGGGTTGTGATTGCAAGGGGGACTGTGATGTTAAGGAAGGAGTGTGATGTGAAGGGGGGCTGTGATGTAAAATGGGCTATAATGTTGGGGGGCTCTAATGTGAAAGGGAGTTGTGATGTACAGTGGGGCTGTAATGGGAAAGGGGGGAATGAGGAAATTAATGTAGAGGAAGCCTTGATGTGAAAGACCTGAGTAACAGAAGAAAAAAAAATAGATTTGTACCTGCAGAAAGAAAATTTTACCAACCGGACCTCCATGAATTTTCTTTCAGTACCACTGGTGTAAAGGCAGGCATCCCAATACTTTTGGAAATATAGTGTATATAACTTCAGAGCAAATCACAAGGTGTAAGACTGCAGCAGAGGCTGATCTGTGTAAGGGCCTGTGTTGCTGGGCTTTTGTTTACTTCAGCCATTCAAGCCATTTTTTTTACCCCATACAAGTCTGTAAGAATGTAAAACCCGACTGAAGCATGGCGTTGCCAGAGAGCACTGTTTGTCCATCATTCCCATTAACCAGGTAGTATATAAGGCTCCTTGGGGGAAAGTCATAAAAGTGGACTAGACCTTAGAAGAGAAGATGGTAGTCAAGACATTTTTAGGTGCACCTTCTTGAGGCAGGTTACGTACAGTGGAGAAGGGGGTGTAGCAAGAAATGTTTCTCAACTGAGAAGTAGAAACCTATTTTATTCCTGAAAGCCAGATGTGGGTAATACGGCTCTTCCTTTTAATTATGATATTGAACCATGAAAAGTTCTGATTAAAATAAAATAGTTATATTACCTGTTGTGAAAATATTTGTGATGCTGCAAAGCTAGATCTTTGTATGCTGAATATATCTTAAAATTTTAAAGTAAAGAGCAACCAGGTTCACCATCTTCTCATCCCTGTCCTTTAGAGTTCTCCTGATTGATTATCCTGTGCAAGAACGTGTGGGGTGGGCACCTGTTGAGAAGACTCTGTGTAGTGATATAGTCTAGTCTGGCTCTGTCAAGCTGGAGGCTCATTAGGTTCTCATGAACAGTGATGTGCAGCACAATCCTAATGCCATCTTGGCCAGCCTCGGTTGAGTGGGGTACTTGATTCCTGATAGGGAACCTGGGAAGCTCCAACTGGACTAGTCAGGAGGCCACTGAATGGTCCTGAGGCTTGAGCTTCTCCCCGAGACCAGAAGAAGAAGAGTCCTGAGTTCAGAAAAAATGTTTTCTGACAGCAATGAACTGCCTACAAGCAGGTCCAATGAAGATCAGAAGGGGGTTAACTGCAGGTCATGCAGGCCTAACAATGAATTCTTAATCTCAAAATTGTCTTAAACAGTATATTACCAAAACATTTCATTATCCTGATAAGTATCTGTTGTACCATGTACTTGTGGTAAAAAAATATCCAGTTCTCTTTGCATTGCTTCTTTTGTGTTAAGTTCCTAGTGACTCTGCCAATCCCCCCGCTTTCCTATTTCAAACTGACCGCACTAGGCATAGGAGCTTATCAATCCCAATGTGGTCAGTTTTCTGGCTGTGCTGGGATCACAGCCTGCCTTTACTTCAATAGTCAGACTATTTCTGACATGCCCCCTTGCACAGCCATTCACTGGGAAGAACAGTGATTGCTGTTTCTCTTCCCCTGCTGACACACCTCCTACACTCTCCACCCCCAGCTTTCTAAATCCCTTATGCAGCTAAGAACAGAGATCATGTAATCATTTATTCAAAAAAGAAAAAAAAGTATTTATAATTATATACTGTATATATACACACACACACACAAGTAAATGTTTTGCCTTGCATTTCTATTTTAAACTGAACGGCTTGTTTCACAAGGTGAGGGTTCACATATACTTTTAAGCTGATGGGCAGCACAGTAGCTACGTAATTGGTTAGCACTTGTTAGGGACCCTGTCGCCATGCAGCCATGCAGCGGTGACAGGTCCCTTCGGGTCGCGGCGGTGCGAGTGCGCATGCGCGGGAGCGTGCGGGTGCGCATGCGCAGAAGCGCGGAAATGCGCGCATACGCAGTAGACTCCGTGTCACCGCTAGGCGGGCTATTTAAACCTGCAATACAGTACAATCAATGCCTTCTGGTCTACAACGTTCCTGCACATAATACCTGATCCTGTTGCCTGTATTCTGATTTGTCTAAGAAAGAACTCCGCCTGCACCGACCTAGGCTATCCCTGACCATCCACTTGCCTGCTCCCTTGTACTTGATCTGCCCGCTTAATACTGACCCGGCTTGTCTGACTCTGCTGCATCTACTTACCTGCACCTGCACCTGGCTTGCATCCTGACGGTTACTATACTTACCTGCACCTGGCTTGCATCCTGACGGTTGCCATACTTACCTGCCGCTGCACCCCACGGTCCTGCATCTGGCTTGCATCCTGACGTTTGCCAAACTTACCTGCTGCTGCACCCATGGTCTTGCACCTGGCCTGCACCCTGGTCACCGCCATACCTGCCTGCTACCGCATCCACGTGGGAGTAAAAAAAGGATGCCTTCTCTCCACGTCAGGCTCCCCAACCAGGTACGTGACAGCACTTCTGCCTGACCGTATTAGGGTCGTTGGTTCAAATCCCAACCACAGCACCACCTGCCTGGATTTTGCATGTTCTCCCTGTGCCTGTGTGGGTGTCCTCTAGGTACTCCAGTTTCCTCCCACACTCCAAAGACACACTGGTAGGTTAATTGGTTCCTGTCCAAATTGTCCCTAGTATGTGTATGTATGGATGTAAGTAAGTTAGGGACTTTAGATTGTACACCCCTTCAGGTCAGGGACTGATGTGAATGTACAATATATATGTACAGTAAATTGACAGCGCTATATAAGTAGCTGTAATAAATATTAAAAAAAAAGTATAAAATGTCAAACTGAAGCAAAAAAGCCACTGATACAGGCTCTAAGATCTTTGGGAATATAGCCAAGGACTGAACATGCTCCGCATTAACACTTCTGTGTCAAATTCTTTTATATGATATAAATCACTAGATGCTATATAGATCCACCATTTTAAGCCCATATTAGGGTCAATTCACTCTATATGTGAGAGACATTTTACCGCACTGTAAAATATCTGTCACTGTAGGTACACGCAGGAAACAATTGTTTCCTATGTGTCCCATTAAAACTGCAATGCAGCCTAGAACTGCACTAAAATGCAGACATGTTGCATTTTATATCGCAGTGCACCAGCCCAACATTGCAGTGAATGAAGTGTACACTTTAAATAAAGCTCTTAAAAAAAAAAAAAAAAAAGGGAGGTGGTGTGATGTGCTGGATCATGCACCACACTGCCCCCTGGCAACACAGAGGGGCTGGAGCGCTGAATTGCTCCAGTTGCTCTGCGATTCATAGCTAGGATTGTGTGAATTCACCCTTAAATAGACAGATGCCATACAGTGGCTTGAAAAAGTATTCATACTCCTTGAAATTTTTCACATTTTATTTTAAAATAATTTAATAATAATTTTAAATGCATTTTATTTGGATTTTATGTGACAGACCATCACAAAGTGACACATAATTGTGAAGTGGAAGGAAAATTATAATTGGTTTTAAAATTTTTTTACAAATAAATATCTGAATAGTGTGGCGTGCATT